GTTTTACTTTTTGCTCCAGTGGTGGATAATGGAGTAATATCAATAGACGGAATACTCTTGATGACCGACAAGGCGTTGTCAATATTGCTATTTTTATTTGGCGCCGTCCGGGGACTTGTAGAAATTTGGTCTCTGGAGGATAAACCGTAATACTTTTGTGGTCTCACTGGGGCTTTTGACTTGCTAGTTGCACCAGTTTTATAAGGAGATATTTGAGGAGATCGGTGCCTCTGAGGATCCCTCACTAATTTTGATTGAGACGAACTCTTAGTGTGTGACTGGACTTTGTCAACCTGACTATGCCCCGAAGTTTGTTGTGTTGCACCTGATGAATTACTGCATGTTTTAGGAGATACCACCTATAAGCAACACATCAAATTTTAATTAGCTCCAGTTCCAACGAATTACCCTAAAATTGGCGTACTACTCTATAATATTGTTAGTGCTATAAGGGTGGATATTATCAAGAAGCTACTGTTACTACATGCCAGAAAATGGAACATTTCTAACTTAAGTACTTTTCAAATTCTAAGCACGTTTAATAAACTGTAACTCTTTACATATCATAATAGTTGTGGAAAATTATAGAAATAATGTATATTATAAATACAAATATTGTTTTGTAAGCAAAAAAATTATTAAGCAAAAAACAGAATTAAAAATATAAAATATTTGAATATAAATATCTTCTTTGGGCTCTGAACAAGATATGGTTGTATATCAAAACATGGCAACCCAACACGTTTTTCAGGACTATATTTTGCTATTAATTGCTAAATAATTCAATACAATCCTGGCGCCTCTTTTTTTATGTTTACACAAAATAGTGGTTATTTACTCAAAGTCTTGTCGATTATATTTACTTCATCAGTGCTGAATCCAGAATTTTCATCTGCAGAGGTTAAATCGTTGCATCGTACGCACAGTGGGGGATTTGATATAATTTCTGATCAAAATGGGTTTTTAATCAGATATTTCATAAAAAACGTTTTAAATTAAAAGAGGACAAGTATCCATTTAATATTTTCAAGGATGAACAGTTATCTGCATTCTACAGGGTTAGTCAAACATTCTGCAGGATTGCGTGCAATTTTTAAGTATACTTTATTCAATAATTATGTGCATAAATGCCAGGTTGTCTCTGCAGTCTTCCTCCCAAATGCTCAAACTTTCATAATTGAAAGAACATATTTGCATTTAATGTTTAAATTGTCTGCATTTTGAAAACTAAATAAAAACATGTTATTTTCATTTAAAATAGATTGACTGAAGCTCTAAGAAGAAAAACTATAGACTTGACAACTTAGCCCATATTAAATTTCAAAAGTTTCTGAGACTTGACTTGCGTACAAGCTTTTAGAGAGAGACATTTTGAAACTTTGAATTTTAACATTACTTTAATGCTCCTATCGTTAATTCAATAAGGATGACCATAAAAAGCCGAGCAAGAGAAATACAACTTTTGAAACTTTTAATTTGAATTTTTTAACTTTTTCAAACCTGAAAATAAATTCTCCCGTCTTCATTTTCAACACATCTGTGTTAAAATAATTTAGAGGTTCTAAGGAAGAGCCTCCTATGCTTAGAATTCTGGTTTTTTGAATGTGTGAAGAGTTAGAACGGTTTTTATGTGTAGCGATTCTGTGTGCCTCAGTCCTTAGTTGAAGGATTGCAATTTTACAGTGACAACAATGGAGCAGTTTTTCCCTGTTTTACCCAAAAAGGAGCTAAAAGTAGCCTTTTTAGAGTCGTAGTTTTTTAACCATCAAAAAGCTGGAGTGGTTCCTGAGTAAAAAGTATATATAAACTTAGCTGAATCCAGGAAAATAGTTAACTAAACCTCTCTGTTCAAGTCATACTTTCTGTTTTTTACATGATTTTTGATCCCATTTACATAATAAAATTTAAAAAACGAATACTTATAAAGTTCGCTTTTTGAAACTTAATATAACATGTTAAAATGCCACCAGTTTGCATGTAAAAACGACACAGTATCGAATCGAAATGATGAATTTACACATAAAAATTCAGAATTTATTTAAGATTTGCTCTAAGTCCAGATAAACAAATGCAGAGTAAACAAGTATTGTGTCGACTTGATATTTATGAGTATTTTTAGAAACCAGCGCATACCTGATTTTTTATTTTCGATCAGTTTTATATTGTTAATACCCCAGTGTGCGACGTATCGTAAGCTCCAAGTTCTTATGGATGGAGTTAACGTGTTTTTGAAATATTTTATTTATAAATTTCCAGAATTATAAAATGTTATTATTAAAGTGAATTGAGACTTTATCGTGAGGATGAAATAGAAAATATTGTACTGCGTCTGGATTCGCTACTGTATTTTATTATAAACTCATGTCTATGTCGTAAAACTTGACAATGCTATTGTTGTATTAAATCACATAAGAAAAATCACTTTTCTGAGTGATTTAAATAAAGCGAAATAAGATTCATTATATTTTGATACCGGAATCAATAAAGCTAAAAAAAATGTTCTACTATAAAAACAGGCAAAATGAACGCCATAGATGCAAATGAAAGTATCGGTTGTTCATTTATGCTCATCCAGTAATAAAGTTAAGAAATGATGGCAATGAATCAATGAACAAATGACGGTCTATTAACGATTTTACAGTAAAAAAATGCTGTTTCAAGCAAAAAATAATCAGCTCACATGTTATCTAGGATATAAAGGTCGGAGTTAAAAATAGTAAAAAATACCTTTAAAACCTTGCAATAATTCATGCTAAATAAAGAGCTGCAACAATAAACCATTCCTACAGAATAAAATGACAAAACCAACCAAAAAAGATCCGTTTAAAAAAATCACGTATAGCCCTATGCACCGATTGGCTCCCTAATCCACATCACAACTTCATTAAGGGCACCCGCAGACGGGCAATTTTTGTCGGCCGACAATTTAAGAAAATCTAAGATCTAAATCTAAAATCTAAGCAACAGCTTACATCGATGTTCAAACAAATTTCAAATTGATTAACCTAAACTTAAATAATTTTAAATTATTTAATTAGACTAAATGTATTCAACTTATAGTTTCCACATTTTTCGGTCAACTAGTAACCACTTAATATGGTTTAGCGCCTAATCGAGGCGGGTGCATACGGCCATAAATGATATCAATTTTTTAAAAGTTGCACAATGCATAACACTGCAGACAACATTTCGAAATAATGTTGCCTTGAATAGTAGTTAAAAATTATTTTTTTGGTGCTAAGAAAACATTACCATGCATACATACAACCTTCAAGGATGAACTAATCAAAGAACTAGAAGAAATGGATCACTAAGATTTTGTCTGCAGAATTTAAATTAAATAGACGAGAATTGCTTCACATTGTGGCAACAAAACTCGTTTTCAATAGAGTTGTAGTATTAACTCCACCTAAACTACTTAACCTTTACACCTGCATAAATCGTAGTTTTTTAAAACAGATTGTTTTATACGGAGCATATACAGGGTGGTTTTTTAGTGCGATAGAGTCCATTATTTCTGATGGTGTTCAACTTTCGAAAAATAGTTTCATGTAAAAGTTGTTGACGCACAAAGTGCGCACAATTTAAAAATATCTGATACTATACAGAGTGTTTCAGAAAAGCGAGGCAAGATCAAAGTGTATTTTTTTTAAATATGTGCTTGAAAGCTTGAAACGCTGCATATGCACCGTAAATTATTTTTTCCTTACTTGAGACGTAGGCAGATTATCGTCATTTTAGTAAAATTTTGTTTAAAAACATGGTACCTAAAAATTCATTGTAGAAGCAAAAAAAAGCAGTTAAAGATACAAAAAAATACGTCCTTCCAATCACCACAGATCCGTTAAGATTTGTATTGAACCAAAATATCAATAAATTGTACCGGGTGTTAACAATGTGGCCTTCAATCTAAAACTTTTTAACGCAATATAACTTGTTTTTCAAATGGAGGTACCTGTATATTAATACGTTATTAGATATCATACAAAATGTAACAACTTTTTGAAATTTTTAAACAAACTAATTTATAATTTGAAAACGGTTGATTTCACAGCTTAAAGTGTAAATGCAAATTTGCAACTTCGTAAATTGTCTATCTAATGACGTATTAATATACAGGTACTCCATTTGAAAAACAAGTTATATTGCGTTAAAAAGTTTTAGATTAAAGTCCACATTGATAAGTTGGTTCAACAGTCAATCTTTAACTGCTTTTGTTTGCTCCTGAAATGAATTTTTAGATACCATGTTTTCAAGCAAAATTTTACTAAAATGGCGATAATCTGCCAAAGTCGCAAGTAAGAAAAAAACAATTTACGCAGCGTTTTAAGCTGCATTCCATGAGCTTATAAAAAATGGGTAGTTCTATTTAAAAAAATACACTTTGATCTTGCCTCGCTTTTCTGAGAAACTCTGTATCATATAAAATATTTCTAAAATGTGCGCCCTTTGCGCGTCAACAACTTTTATATGAAACTATTTTTCGAAAGTTCAACACCATCGGAAATAATGGACTCTATCGCACTAAAAAATCACCCTGTATACTAAATTATGTATAGGATTGTTTCTGAATATAATTAACTAAAACTGAAACATGAATGATTTATTGAAAATTTTTGACTTTCTGCTACTCTGATTTTTTAACGACCCACCTTGTTAAAAATGAGCAGATATTTACAAAATAAAATAATTAAAAATGTTTGCATCAATTCAGAAATTTTTAAAGCCCTTTAGCTTGAAAGAAATCTAAGCTCTATTTTCAACAAACATATTATCAATGGCCGAAGCTCGTTAAACAGCACTTTTCATGTATCTATCGAAAAAAGTTTATCTCCGAAGTAGACAGTGATTACAAAGTTTGCAAACAGAAAAGAACTTTCGAGATTTAATTTATAAAAAAATTGGTCAGTTTTCCTGCAAAAATTGTCGAAAAACCAAATATTGTTATTAGGACCCGCCATTGTGTTTTTCTATTTTATGTTGCACTCTAAGAAAACATTCCTTTAGGTCCGAATTAGTAAGAGCTAAATTTAAATAAGATATTTGTTAGTGTTTAAGTTAATGAAGTAGGCAATTTTACAAATTAATCAACTTCTCATGTGCACATTTTATGAAATTGATTCAATGGATAATTCTGCAGTCATAATCATTAGCAGTAATAATGCGTAGACAATAAAAATTTTGGGAAAATCATACATAGTCTATATAAGCAATTTATGGCACAACAAGCAAACTTTAGAGATCACTGAAACAAAGAACATTGAAAACATTTATTCTGTATGCAAATTTCACTTTAAATAAACGAAACTTTTTGATTGATGTGCTTACTCGTTACTACTCTCAACTACTAAGAGATGCATATAAATTCATATCCCACTTACACATTTTTACATGTTTTCTAACTTAGAATGAAGGGTTCCAAATGTACGGTTTTCTTGGAGGTTGAGGTGCATTTTGTGGCTATTACAAAAAACATTGCTTTATATGAATTTACATTTTCAATGTTTGATAATAACTTGGACTCAGTAAAGCAAGATCGGCATGCAATATATCTCAGAAACTATTCATCGTCTACCTACCTATGTAATGACATGAAATAATTCGAATATTTTTTTGTGTCAATACTAAATAACTTAGATATACTGTATTGTAAATAGCGACTGAGATATATGTATATTATTTAAATTCGCAAGATACACTTTCAATGAGAGCTTAATGTTCATGTACTTTTAAAATACTTATTAAATATGAAGTGGACAATCAGCCAACTAAGCGATGAAGTAAATGTATAGCCAAATGCATCAAATTTCAATATAAATATTTCAGTTTTTTAGACAAATCATTGCAAATAAACACAAATTTTAGAATAATTTAAAATGTTCATAGACATGGAGGGCCACTTTATTAAGGACTGTCTTACGATGAAATGGAAATGTATTTAATTAGGTGTACAAACTTTTACAGTAGATTCCTCGCTCAAAAATAATGTTAGTTTGGTAAATGAGCCAAAGTCCTAAAGTGATTCGTTAATTATTAATATATTCGAAACGACTGGATAATAAAATTAAATTTTGCAGAGTGCTGCAATAAATCTGTTGAACATTGTCAAACTTGTGTCTTAAAATTGCACATTTGGAGAACAAAGCTTTTAATGTTGTTTCGAATCTTGTGCCAGATAAATTACTGACGAAGGCAAAAAATCAACACTTTTTTATCACATCTTTCGTAAACTGCTTAACTTATAAAAAAAGTTAAAATTGCCTTTGGTAGAACTTTTTGCGTTGAATTCAATAAACTAGCACTCGCTGTCATAGTCAACTTGATTTACGAGATAAAAAATAAACTAATGTTTTTTAAAATGGCAATCATAGTTGGAGTGGGCTTTTTAAAATCCTTATTTTTTCCTGAAAACGGTTATATAAGGTAGTTTCTCAATCGGTCAGGTTTTAGTAGGGGACGCAGCGACATATTATATACATATATACTATTGAAATTATATCTAGCAATAAAATAATCGTCTTCTTAGATTATTAGATAACAATTGTACACGATATTTATGTGTGAAAATCGCAACTATACAGAGCGATTCAAAATTGGCGTCATTCCTTTAAAGGATATATAGGGGCCCACTTAGAGAGTACGAGAGAAAATTTCAAGAAGATATTAACAGTTGAAAATCGAATTTCAAATTTCTTATTAAGCATTATTTTGAAATTGTCCCATATTTAATTGGTAGCATATTGAAATACTTAAGCGTTCAACAAAAAATTACGATCTTTGCTTCAAATTACGCAAATTTTTAAAATTAAAAAAGTTCTCTTCAACAATCTTTTTTGATGAGAAGAAAGTTTTGTCATCAACAGATAGTTACAGGTAGATAGCCTTTGTCACTAATAACAATAATTTGTCACACTGTGACTTACTTTGAAGCTCCTTTCACGAATTTGCGGATATGCGATTAGTTCTGGGGAAATGCCACATAAACATGGCAGAAGCTCTGATAACTCACTCCAATAAAGTCCAGGCACCAAATAAATACCGAGGAAGGGCTACATTCCTACCACGTATGTAAGATACACAAAAATTTTTCAATTTCAATTATCATCTTTTAAACAGGTAAAGATAAAGTGACTCTCGCTCACGCGGCATGTCGACGACATCTTTATCGGTCGGAAGACGACCTTTGTTGTACTTTACAAGTGGAAGACTATTATTTAATTATTATTTTCATCTTTCAAATTATAAACATCAGCCATCACACTTAGTTTCAATTGAGAGGCTATGAATTTTTCTTCTCTTTTTTTGCGCGTATTGATGTGGGTGGAAGACGTGCTTTGTTGTGGAATATAGATGAAAGACGATATTTTTTTCAAATTTTAGGGTCAGATCAACGAGTAGAGCAAGTTCCAAACAAGAGGCTATGGTTTTTTTTTGTTAAGGCCCATTTTCATCAGAAACAAGCGAAACGCAGTTTGACGAAACTAAGTTTATGTTAAACGCCGAAATTAAACGCGTTTAACGACGGACCGTTTTC